AAGATAAGTGTAATATGACAAATAATATATAGTTTAATATAGTATATAATTTTGAATTGTAATATAATATAATAAATAATAGTATAATATTGCATGCAATCCTGAATTGTATTAAAACAATACGAATAATTTTTTTTACAGTAAATAACCTTTTATTAACTTAATATTTTTTTATTAATACATAAAATATTTGAATAAAAAAAATCAATTAAACATATTTTTTTACAGAAAATAACTGCCTTCACCTTTGCAATCTTCATAACCTTCCTGTTATCACAAACTTTCTTCATATTAATTGCATCAAAAGTGGCAACAATTTATTCAGTAATACTTGATATCAAATCTTCAATCTCTATCATGACAACTGAATTGCTTAGAAGAAGGGTATCTATTGCATTGCCTGAAATATTAATATCTGAAGTGTGGAATATAAATATTCAAAACTTGAACCAGGAAGAACATTGAAAAAGATTAAAATTAAATTATTGTTGAATTATTAAAATTTATCTTTATTAATCAACTGATATATTTAGAAAATAAAGAATTACACATATGGGTTGAAAAACTGAAAAAAGAAAATATTGAATTTGTAAAACAATTAGATTTAATGGAATATATTATTAACTAGTTTTTCAAAGAATTAAAACAGTAAAAAAATAAAATAGAAAATTTTTAAAAAAAATTGATTTGCTCAAATCTGTAAAACTTGAGATATTAGAATCTAAAAGTTTGCTGAGTTTAGAAAAGCACAGAAGAATTTAATTTAGGAGAAGTAGTAAAATAGCAAAATTTGTAAAACCAGTTATTAAAGATGAGCTGAAATTAGAAGAAGTGAGAATAGAAATAAAGGTCTTAATGAAAACCATTCCTGATGAATATAAATTGAATATAAATGAAGTTTTTTTGAATGATATAAATAAAAAAATATTATAATAATTGATATCAGAATTAATAAAATCCATAATGTTATATTTTAATTCCTTATGAAAGCAAATAAATAAATGATTAGATGTTTTATATTACTATCAGAGAAAAAGATATCAGAAGATAGAAACTGAAAAACTAGAAGTAGACAATTACTACTTATATGCAATTAGCTGATTAAATGAAGTAAGATTAATAATATTTTGTATTTATACAATCTTCAAGTATTAATTTTTAACAAATAATTAAGAAAGAGTACAAAGAATTAAAAGCATACAGTCACTTATTAAATGAAGATCAAAGAAAGTTACTAAATATTAGAATGAATTAACTAATGTAATTAAAGAAACAAAGATATATTTACCTGAAAAAAGTAAGATTGATTTGGAAAACCTTATTAAAAAAAGAACAAATATATATAATTATAGTTGGCATTCTAAAAAAGTATTTTTCAGCAAAATATTTTATATTGAATAATTAAAATATTAATTATAATTACTTATGGTTAAAGGATTTATTGAAATATTTGAATAAATATTAAAAATTAATTCAAGCATTTCAACTGATTCATAAATGATATTATGATAATTCATATTTCTATGACATGATATTATCAAAAGATTTGTTGAATTAAGCATACAGTTTGGAAAAGATTTCAGAATGTAAACAAAAAAAAGACAGAAAAGGATAAATAATTAATAGTTAAATTTAAAAGATAAAAAAAAACTGAATATGAAGAATCATTAATGTATTTAGAGAATAAGGAACAATTGGGAAAAGTGCATAAAATAGGTAAAATTTGGAAGGCAATTAGGTTAAAAAAAAAAAGTAAAAAATCTTAGAAAACATTTAACAAGATTAAATCAATTAGAGCAAGTTTTAAAAGAGTCAAGCTAAAATCTTTAAAGAAAAAAGAAAAGCAAGCAAAAAAGCTGAAAAAGGAAAGTGATAAATAATTTAGTCAATTTATTTTATAATTTTTTAAAAAATTTTGTGAAATTTATTAAACTTCTTGAATATTTATTGAATTTTAATACTGGATTTGTAACTTTTGTCAAATTTTTTACTGCAATAATTTTTTTTGTTAAATTTTTTGCTACAGTAATTTTTATTAAATTTTTTGTTGCAATATCAATTTTTTGTCAAATTTTTTATTATAATAATTTTTTTACTAAATTTTTTGTTATAGTATTAATTTTTTTTGCTAAATTTTTTATTGCAATATCAATTTTTTTGCCAAATTTTTTATCATATTATAAAATTTTTTGCTATAGTATACAAAATTTTTTTTTGTTGCAATATTGCTAGATTTCATATTGAATTTTTTTGTTGTAGTATATTGAAATTTTTTTGACAATTTTTTATTGATATTTATTATACTGAGTGGTAGCAATTGTAAATGATTTGTCAATTTTTTCATTATTATTTTTGTTAAATTCAGCAATAATTTGACAGTTGAATGAAATAATTTTGACTAGTATAAGAATTAATTAATAAGAATTAATTCAATGTTATATATAATAATAAAGAAGACAATTTAACTCTTTTTAAAGTCAAAATGAATAATATTTGAGAGTATTAAAAGATGTTTAAATTTTGATAAATATAGATATAGTTGAATTAATTTAGTAAAACAATAAAAATTTGTAAACTTAATATTAATTAATTGTAATTTATTATTAATAACTATGTATTTGATTATTTAATCTTTAATTAAATCAGTTTAATTATTGAATATTAATGAGTTTAGTAAATAAATTATAATAACTTATAATTAATCTGCAATTACAATATATATTAATTTTTTTTTTAAGTGCTGGCTCAGCCTCCAGTTGGTCTTTATTTAGCTTTTACTCAGATATTACATTGTGTTATCTATTTCAGAGCTAACTAGAAATCAGACTATACTAATATATATGTGTGATTACTATGAAAGATACTTTCATTATAGTATATATTAATAGATATTATATAAAGATAATTAATATTAAGCTTAAAAATTTAGTATCTATTTATAATATTAAGTTAAAAAATTTAATAAATAAATCTATATTTAATATTAGCTATAGTTTAAAAAATAAAATAAAAAAAGATCACTTAAAAAAACTTTTAAATATTTAATTTGAAAATATAAAATCTTTTTTCTATAATTTTTTATTAACAAAAAATTCTTAGTAATTATAAATAGTCCATTAATTTTAAAATTTAATTTTTAAAATTAATTTTATATAATAAAAAAATAATTCAATTGTAAAAAAATTATTTGCATTTAGTAGAAAATTTAATATCATCTTTTTTATAAATTATATGCAAATTTTATATATAAAATTCATTAATAGAATAGTACTTATTTTTATTTTTTTACTTCAAATTAATATTTTATGATAGAATATCAATTAATTATTGATAAAACTTTAAATATACAGTATAAACGTGATAATCTTATAAAAAAAAATATAAAGTTTTATTTAAATTCCATAATTATTTATTAAATTATAATAAAAAATATTCATCCAAAGATTTTTGCAACAAACTGTATATTTAACAAAAAAATTGTACCAATGAGAATAATAATTTAATTTTTAATTTTTAATATCATAAATTAATAATATTAAATAAAATACAATTCATAAGAAATAATCATAATCTTTTAATAGTTATAATTTAATTTTTTTTTTAATCAGTTGTTCGAAAGTTACGTATAAACCACAATCAAAAAATTTATAAACATAAAAACAATTTTTTGAGTGTGCATTAACTATTAGGGGCGCGTCAGTAAAATTGCTACAAGAAGTGCTATTCTTAATTAAATCTCGTTTTATAATAAAATTATTTTCTAGCCAACGAAATAATAATAAGAAATTTTATTTATGCGAGAACTTTCATAATCAGTAAAAGAATAAAAATGAGTAAACAAAGAAGAATGGAAATGTGACTGTGGTTTAGACTTTATAGATTTGCCCATCTTCGGAACCTGGTAAAAATGGAGTGCCTTGAATTATTATCATTTCCGCTTGTTGAAGCTAAATCCAGATCGTTATGATTCCCACTCTCATTATTTTGTATTCGTAAACTGCCAATGTGTGGCGAACTTTTAACGAAACTGGAATTAAATCTCTTGCTATTTCTAGCGAAATTTTTGAAGGCCAACAACCCAAATCTTCATTAGTGATATAGGCGGATAGTTCTTGATTCTCTGATATGTGTTCTATATACTCTGCGGAGAGATAACGAACCAGAAAACGTCTCAAGGCCACCAAAAATTCATAAGAAGAGATACTTCTCTTGATGACGCGCTCTCCTAGTTTAATGATTTTGGTTATTTGTTTTTTCATGTTTCGTGATAATTGCTCCTTGTACTTTGCGTCGATATCGAGAAATTTGTACTCAATTCTGTCTTCTACCTTTTCGTACAGACACACTAAATGCTTAAGGCGTAAATTTTCTCCGAACATTCCGCAGAATTCGACCTGTTCCATGAGGAAAGATGATTTCATTTGTTGAGAGATGTAATCACGAATGGACATTTCGCCATCAATTTCGTGACTGATGCTACATATTAGCATTTCTAAAGCGGGAAGCATCTCAGACGCATTCTTACATGAAAATGTTTCATTGAGCACATGATTATAAGGAAAATGTGATAATGAAGGCTCTGAGAATGATGCTGAGTCAATATTCGCAATTGGGAGTGGCTGTCGCGACACAAAACCTTCGACGCCTGTTAAAATGTAAAAATTTCGAGAGAACATCTCTTTGAAATAAGGAAAAGGTTGGAATTCCCTATTAATAAGTACTTTGTTAAAAACTAACTGACGCGCGAGCTCGATTTCTATATTTAGCAAATAATATATGATGTGTTCGCCATAACGAATATCCAGATTCCGTTGGCTATATCGGAGTATTTGGTCGTTCCATGCATAGTCAATGAAGTTTTCGGGCCGCATGTGCTCAAGATGCATTGTAGAAAGATAGTATTGACTGGCACCATTATTGTCGATTCCGTTCACAGGAGTTGCGGTCATTACTGTGACAGTTGTTAAAAACTGGAGCGAATGACATGAATTCGGAGGGATAGATATTGACTCTTCCAAGAAATTATTTTGCAGTTCTATCAAATAATAAACAATGCTGCAAATAAAAATACTATCGTCTCTTTCCTCCACCAAACCATAGACGACAGACGAGTCGAGAGATATGCTGGGAAATGCATTAAATCGCCGACACTTGTACCCTTTGACGTATTCTTTCATTGTATTCCACGATTTTTCAAAGTTTTCAAAAGCAGAATGCAACATTTCCGATATTTCTTGAAAGTCTCCATTATTTGACTCTCTGTCTATAAATTCGCGGAATGTTAATTCACGTGCCTGCTGTCTAGTAATTTGATGCTCCAAACGTGTTTTTAGAATTTGAGCAAACTTCAAAATTGGTAAAAGGTTCTTTATGAGGTGCAAATTATTTTCATATTTGAAGAAAACATCAAGGAATGGAAATCTCGTATTGTTAACCGTATTGCTTATGTAATAGGAATGCAAGCTCTCAAGGCTTACATCACCGATTTTCCTCCAGAGCCTAGGCAGGTATCTAATACGATATTCTTCGCTGGTTTCAGAATTCAAGTCATCGATCTCTGCTTCGACAATACCCACTCCTCTACCTTGCGATATTTCCGCTGTGTGAGCTTGCATGCTGATATCCTGAGCCGTGAATGTAACGTTATCGACCTTGGGATTAACGTATTTTTTAGTAAATTCATCTTCCCACATCTCTCTACCCTCTGGAGTGTTTAAAGAGTTTCGACGACATTCATTCGACATAATACCCTTGTACATCTCGAGAAGGATAGCATGCAAAATCAAGGATAATCGTTCATCCGAACAATTAATTATTTGTTTTCCAAGCACTTCCCAGTCATTGCGAATATGACCAAGGCAATATTGAACTATGTCCCCTATATTACTACCGTTCCGCGTAAAAAATGATGTGGTAACAGGCGATGGCGCAGACACACCAAGGAGGGCATGTACAAATAAGTGTAGAATGCGATATGACGTCGGTGTCATTAAGCGGACATTTTGTCTCCACTCTGTTGTGGTTTGTTGGTTTGTTCAATAATATATCCGGGTAGGTGTTTGATTTCCACTGACGTGATTTTTGCTTGGTCCAAACGAACGCTTCCGGTTGAACCACTACCAATAGGCTCTTTGCAATTCGCGCATTTCCCATTACTATCGTTGAAGCCAAACACTTTAGATATAACATTATTATTATTAAATTGATTCACTTTCACATATTAAGATTACCTTCCGAAGCCTCCACAATCAAAGACCAGGTATTTTTCTCCGCAACGACATGCATACCTTTAAAAATAGACGAGAGTTTAATTCGTATGTTACTTCATATTAAAGGCGAGAAATAAATATGCGTCACCTGGTAACCCCATCTTTCGCTCCTTCTTGAGTTCTATCACTGGCGATCGCATTCAAAACAACACCTTCCATGTCTGAAGGACATGTCAATATGGAACTTTTGTTAAAGTCTTGTAACTTATGAAAATAAGCCGCAAGTGGATTGGCATCTTCTGAGATAGAAGCATGCAGCATCATGATGTGTACAATAACCGAGGTAATGAATAGTTGAGTGTTAGGGGTATCGGCAGAAAGTTGAATTAATAAATTCTCGTTTAGGAGCAATTTTTTAAGCATTTCTTTATAGCCCCTTAAATTATCCATGGCTTCTACCTTTTCGCCTAAAAATTCTACCAAACTCACTTCATATTCCGTCCACTCGCGCGAAGCTCTTATGACATGCAGGTGAGTCGCAACCATTCCTGCAAATGAAATTCGATCGTTCATTTCTAAGGTATTCATCCAATTAGGCACATCTCGTATATTAATTAGGAATGATATGAAATTATCAGTGATGGCATTAAGATTGCTCCGATGTAAACAATACGGGTTGAAAGAAAGTCGGCTCTCGCTATTTTCCCATTGTAATGTGCCAAGCCATGAAAAAGTTTGATTTTGTGCCTTACACAGTTCCCTAACATCGTCCATTGAAAGACCGCAGTGTCGCAGATACTTGAGAAAGTAAATTTTGAACGAATGGATTAGCGGCCATTCGAATTCCATGTACATGTTGATATCATTTACGATTTGCTCCATGTGAGTACCAATGCGCTGCGAAATATCATCTATAATGTTTTTATTGGCATCAAAGAAAGTCCGGATGTACTCTTTCAAAAAGGCAATGGCTGATATGCACTGTAGTGGCTCTACCACACTTGTATGATGATGAAGTAATCTCAACGCTTCGACGGCGTATGGAAAATAATTATGTAGCTCATCCAGCTCACAACGAAAGAATGTTTTTTGGATGATGTCACAACACAACACGGCTATTGGTGAGTTTAAATCGTTTGCTTTTAACAGACTATTGACAATTTCCAAATCTCGGGCAACACTCAAAACGTTATGAGGAATGCCGATTAAATTGAGGAACGCGTTTTTGCACCTAGCGTCTTCGTCAAGAAAAACACGTTGTATTATAGGACTCGCAAATTCACTGGGAGTGTGTTGGAAAATCGACGTATAAAGACGCTGTCGAATGGGTGATGTGTAAGGTATTATGTTGAGGCAGCGATTGATAAATGACATTCGTGCAAATATGACTTCGTTTGATTCAAGACTCGGTAAAATTTCATTAATTAATTGCTCGAACATTACATTCTCTGTGCCCCGTCCTATTATTGACATAACGGTATTTCTGAATGACATTGGGATGGTTTGAGTTGATAAAAGATCATTGCAAATGTGCAATAGTTGGAGAGACGGAAGTGTGGCCAATTCTGGTTTGGTGAAATTGAATAAGAGCTTGGCGACCATGTTCTGCCACACTTTTTCCCTGCGGGCTTCTACAAAGAATTCCCACTGTGTAATATACCGTTCGGCTATCTTTGGGATTTCTTCAAGTTTTCTGGCATTTCGTTCTTGGAATTTCTCCACTATCAGGCCGACCGCTTTCTTGTAATCGGTGCAAATACCATCCATTATCGTATGCGGAAAAATCTTTGACACATCGGACGAAAATTTTAAAATTTCCTCTTGGAGATATTGATCGGCTTCTATTTTATTAAAAATTTTGTCGTCAAAACTAGCATTAAGAATCTTTTCAAAATTTCCAGTTGTATGTTGTAAAAATGCATTGGATTTATTTTCCCAACTGTAGTTATTGATTTTTTTTTAATGATTCCAAAAGCGGGGGTGCCAAATCACGTAACTCGTCTTGAGATATTTCGTTGTCCTGATTGTAATAAGAGGCAATATGATCCAAGTAAATATTCTTGCTTTGTATCAATATTTCAAACCACTCAGAATTGAGTTGATCTTCTTTCATTGGTAGGCGACATTTTAGTTTTTTCGCAGATATTTCCAAGTTATCATGCATCTGTCTTTGAGCAAAACTAATAATTTTAGTTTTATTTTCGGCTTCAAGCAGTTCTCGCTGACTTCTGCAAAAATTCTCGAGCTCTACTCGGTGATGTTGTACAAGATCTTTTGGAAGGTCTTTGATAGCGTCATTGAAATTACTTAAAAGCGTTTGAACTAGCTTTTCATAAAACATAAAAAGGTCCTCTCTGAAAAGCGGAACCTCACATTGTCTGGTGCTGTCAGAGAACATTTGTGCCTCTTCAAAAAAATGCGTTTGAAAGTTATTCACCTCTTTTGCAAGCTTTTCTCGAATTTTCTCATGAATTTGATATCCACGCTGCTTTACTTTACTTGCTATGCTGCGGATCTCAGAACCATGGATGGTAGAAATATCTTTTATTATAGGGTTAGGAAAATCTTCAGATTTCAACTTTTGAAAAAAACTCTTTATTTCGGCTTCTACTCGTGCGTCAATATCTTCGTTATCGCATACTCTCATTTCTTCTTCCGGATACATTGCCATGAGCGAATAATAAAATCTATTTCGTGCATTTTCACTTAACACGTTAGCTTGAACAATCCTGGCATTTTTATTGTGATCTTTCCACTTTTGAAATTTCGAGTCAATTAGCTTATCTATCTTTTCAGTACCCTCGGATTTCAAGATGTCATCATCAAACGTAACTAAATATTTGCGATAATTGTCGTTGACTGAGTTAAAAATGCTGTCTAAAAAGGGCTCAAGTTCACATTCTTTCGTAGGAAAGCGTATTATTACTTTCGACAAGTAATACTCGATATCCCTAAATATTGCATTTGCCATGTAAATAACTTTTTTCTCATTTTTTCCTTGAGTTCATGCCATTTGACTTTTTGAAAGTCATACAGGCTCTCCTTCAGTTCACGTGTTCTATATAGTGACAAGCCCTCAATGTCATTCTCAAACATTTCCAGCAATTCATTAAACCGGTCCTGAAACCATTTATTAAGCTCGTTTTGTGGAGTGGGGATTTCTTCAGCAATTTTGGTGTCCGTCAGATAAAGGAGTTTCTCACGAACCGCATCCGCTCCTTTCTTTCCTCGAGCGATTTGCATTCTCTCAAAGATCGAAGAGATTGTGAAAGATTCCTCATCGATAAGAGTCTTGCACAGAATTTTAGTCAACTCAGCAATATCCCGACCGGTCCACGGATGATCTGAAGGATTAAGTATGAAGTAAGGAATAACATAAGTATCAAAGCACACTTGCAATCCTTACCAGAACCATGTTTTGGTCCATTAACACTTAATTGTTCGGAGAATATTTTACGCATATCCTTAAATGTTTTTTTCCAATCATCGCTGAAATCATTAAATAGCAAATTTTCTTGGTTTTTTTGAGTGCCATTCTGCGGAAAGAGCCACACCTGTAAATCAGATCATTTTAGGATAACGTCAAAATAACGAGAGCATTCCGTTCAGTCTTTAAGAAATACTTTTTTTACATTAATGCTTTCAAAAGTGTCAACTAATAGTTTGCGGATAGTGTTGCGTTCTTTCTCTCCCGGCTCGTTTCTGCACTCTAGAAGTTTGTCTTTAACATTGTCTGGTGTTCCATTATAGGTCCAGGATCGGAATACAATATGGAGGTGGGAATATAATTTTGTATTTTTATGCTTTTTGTGGGTACGTATAATGCATTAATACGTAAGTCTTGTGATAACAAGATGCTCGTTATTTAGCACTAACATTTAATACTAACTTTATATTCTATCTCGGGATTAATTCGCCGTGCAGAATTTGTTATCGCACCCAGCATTGAAAGGATCCGATCTTGTTGAAAACCTTCCGGCCACCAGAAAATAATAATTTTTGAGGTAACGAGAATAGGGGAGAAAAGATAGATGTCGAACTCATCTCCTCGATCTAGAAAAGTATGAGGAGATTTTAATCGTGTCGTGCTCAATCAAGTTAATCGGCAAGAAACTTACTGCCTTGTCCTTCTGTGTCTACGAACCCAATTAAAACATCGCTGTCAACTTCCTGGTTACCATTTAACTTTGAAAATTCTCTAAGTGTCATGAATTCTTCAGAAATATCAACTCCTGTCGCCACTGTTTCCATGTCGCAAGAGCTCCTGAATATTTCGTCACTATAATCATCTACACCCGCCAACATATTCATCATGGTCGATTTACCCATTCTTATAGTATATGAAAAGTAGTTATATGGTATTGTATAATCGTACGCCTCATGAAAAGAATATCTAGTTACCTTGCCGGGCCAAAGATTGAAATGAAGTTTACGGTTTTGTTTTTGGTGCATAACAAGTCGGTAGCATCATCTCTAACATCCATATGGATCTTTGATTTGGTTTCTTCGTTCTTGCCACCGTCTCTGTTTTTGTTGTCCTCGTATTCAATTGTTAACCATTTGAGAGACCTCATCTTGATTATAATTTTTGGAACTTGGCATCCAATGTTGAAACTTATTTAACATTTCTGTTGCCTTAAAATAATCACACATTTTTTTCCGGATATAGAATGATTACGAGCAGAGATTTTTTTACAAAAATAAAAGACATGTGAGGAGTTTCCCGTGCATCACTTACAGTATGTGCGTCGCCTGTGCAGCATTATACTCAAGTGAAATCCTTTAATTCATGTTATTAAAATAATTTTCGGATCTTATTTCCGGCATATATACAATAAAACGGAAATCGAAGTTAGAAAATAAAGCGAAATTTATGATTTAGCATTTAAAAGGAACCCTTTTATTTAAGATTTGACATTTAAATAGTCTGTATATAGTTTTAAAAAATAATAAGCATGATTGTAAAACAAAATAATGAAATAAAGCCTACAATAAGAAATAAAGTATCTTCTATTTATGTATCCATTATACAGTATTAACCTATATTATACAGTATTTAACAAGTTATTAACATGGCAATTTTAATAATTTCGCGAATTTGACTACCGTATGTGACGATCTGAGATTAAGTCACGTTTTGCATTTTCCTTATGATCCGGAAATTTCACCCGAATATAATGCTGCACGAACACCTTTTATTTTTGGTAAAAATCACTGACATATTAAATCCTTGATTAAAAGATTAAACATTGAATCTAATTGGGACGCACATTCATTTTATTTATTCCAATAATGCTTCGAATCATGTTTTTAAACTGTTATTATCGCTATATTATGTCTTCTATTGACACAGAAGAAAGCCTTTTGTATACTTCATTTTTGATTTTAATTTATTTTTTTATTTATTTTTATTTATTTTGTTTTTATCAATTTTCAGAAAGAATCCGGTAATATAAACTCTATTCGCTTTTGTGATTTGATTTTTCTTTATTCTTTTTTGTCTAATGCCGCAGCACCCTTGCTGCACTTTTTCTTATAATTCGAAAATTTTATAGCCATAAGTAGCGATGTACGACAGAGATTTTTTACATGGTGTTTCCTCCGTTAGTTTACGACGAATGCAGCTTATCACACTCTTTACATTTGTATTGTTTTAGAGTGAAATTTCCGGATCACGAGAACTCCTGTATAAAAACGTAATTAATCGGTTTCACGTGACTAAATTGCAGATGTGCCTCCCCTCTTGTTTATAAATCTTTTTATCAAAAACCTTATTTTTGATAAAAAAACTCAATTAATAATTGTATTACATTAAAATGAAAATCAAATTTGGTTTATACTAAATAATAATTCTTTATTTATAAAATTCTTTTGACTCATCAAAAAGAATTAATTTGGCCCTTCCACTAA